AGCTCCATTGTTTTTTTTTTTTTTTTTTTTTTTTTTTTTTTGTGGATTGTTCATGTTAAAATCTGTTGTCTCTTGCAGCATTTTTTTTATCTATATATGTTATAAATATGTGTATAAAATTAAGATATTAAATTTTATCACTCAATTACTATGAATTTTCCAGCATGCGATAATTTCTCATAACACATCTCCTTTAATTTAAAATTTTGTGGTTATTTTTTTAGTTTTTAGGAATAATGAGAAGCATAGCTCAATAAATTAAATAAAATAAAACTACAATTATAAAACTGATGCAATTAATAATTTACAACTCAAAAGAAAACATAGAAGAAAAATACAATCATTCACACATTCTTTCTTCTCCTTATGATGTGTTTATTAAACTTGCAGACCATCTTGATCTGTTGGTTGAGAACTTCGGTTATCAACCAAGGGGTTTATAGTTCGAAGCTTGCATATGTGATATGTGTGAGAGCTCAAAAGTCTGAAAAAAATATATCTATTAAACCCCACAAATTTCTTGTAATTATATCTAGAAAAGTTTCTCTCTCCATCTTTAATCATAGACAATTGCTATTTTAGCTTTCGTTTGAGATTGTTTTCTTACTGCTTTCTAAAGTAATTTTTTAGTACAAAAAATTTTTGAATATGAAATTTTTGTATTAAAAATTTGTTTTGAAATACAATAAGAAAGTTATCCCAAACGAAACTTTAATATTCTCAAACAACTGGTAAATATATTTTTTTAAACCATTTATCATATTAGTTGGTGCATTTTCTATTCATGAATTGCTAAAATATCAAAATATCTTTTTTATATGTATAATCCTTACTATTTGTATGCTTGATAGATTGTCATAAGCAACTATGCAAGCAATTTGCTAGTTATTAGAGACAATGTTAGATTCGTTTATAGATTATTAGTTCATATTGAAGTTGCTAGGTTGAATAGTACTATCAATGGTTTTTATATTTATTTTATTGATTTAAATTATCATTTATATTCTTTGCAACTACATCAATAAGTACAATACCTTTGAAAATAAGGCATCTAGATTGGTTGAGCAAGATTTTCTCAAGACACCAAAAAGTATAACCAAGAAATCTCAAATAGCGAAATTCAAAAAATTGAGGAGTTATAATCTTCCAAAATCTATCCTTCTAGTTGATCTTCCATATGTTATAAGCTAGACAAGACTCTAAAGATATCAGTAAATGAAATATGGATTCCTTTTTTATCCTTAGAGTCAAAATTCATAAAAATTATTAGGTGCGGAGTGTGCACCGTCCGCACAAGCACTGGGTACCTAGCAGTACCCAGTGCGGGTACCACTAAGTATCCAATGCTTGTGCTAACGGTTCTCCGCATCTGCATTCCGCACCTAATAATCTCTCCAAAATTCAAGGGGCAAAAATAGTATTTTTTTTTTTTTTTGGGGGCAAAAATAGTTCAACTTGCACAAAAGAACCCACCCTTTCTTGAATATTATAGTCCTTCCACTCCTCATTGCCTCCCCTCAAGTGAAGGAAAGCAGCTTCCCCTTCCACATGCAAAGCCCATACCTCATTGTCTCTTCTTCATGCAGTTATGCAAGCTTGAAGACAAGCATATTGTAAATGGGTCCCACTCAAACAACTCTTCTACTTATATGCATTTATTAATTACAACATTAATTATCTTTACATGGATCAGAGCAAAAAAATTTATGAGGAAATAATTGTTTTTATATATATCATTTAACTTTAATAGAAATTTAATCATTTTTAAGTCCATCATAATATAATTTATATTAGAATATTCTAACATAATTTTTTTCATCATTTTTAATAAATAGTAATAAGAAAAGAGACTTCTATGGTCTAAAGTCTATATATGTCATCACATTAGATTTTACTCATCTATAAAAAAAATTATGAAAATAAGATAGACATATAGGAGAAAAATGATCTCAAATTGAATTTGAAATAAGATTTGAGTCTATAAATTACTCGTCGTGACTTTTACCCTAGAAAAGATTAGAGAGAGCTCCGAATAAATTTCTACTTGATTCGGTGCATTGAATTACAATGAAAAATGTTTAAGTCGGGATATTATGATTTAAATCTGATTTAGCGAGCCTTAAATTAAATGAATTTATTTTGATATAAATATAAAATAAATAATTAAAATTTATAATTAAGCATATTTTAATATAAGTTTAATATTTTTTAAAATTCACTTTTACCAAATTTGAGTTGTTTTAAATATATATGTTGATAATTATCAATCCTCTAACTTTTTCCGGATGATCAAAATGATCATCAACTATTTAAAAGTCTCATTTTAGCCCATTGACCTTTTAAATAGGGAATTAAATGCTTCCATGGAATGAATAATTTGGTCTTTATTAAAAAAGTCAAGAGACTAAAGTGATACTTTTATCTAATCGAGGACTATTTTGATCATTAGAAAAAAGTTTGGGGACCAATTGGTCTCTCTCTCTCTTAAATTTATTTTTATAAAGTGGGGGTCCGGGTTGAAATGTCCGACCCGTTTGCACAAACGGGTCGGGTTCGGGTTGACCCGTTTAGATCCGGGTCGGGTCGGGTTCGACCCGAACCCGACGGGTTGACCCGAATTGACACCCCTAATTTGAACTATTTTCTTTAAAATTTTGAGTTACTTATGAAAGCATCATTACATATATGAAAATAATTACTAATTGTAATGAAATCAAGCTAAGTTAGTTTAAATCAAATAGATTTAAATCAAATCAAGAGTGCCAATAATACAATTAAAAACCAAACATTATACATTGGAAACAAATTTAAATCAAAATCCTAATGAAAGTTTGAAACTAAGGTTCATTTGGAACAACATTCTTATTATTTTCTAAAGCAAGTTGTTAATGCAAAAAATTTTAATTCAAAAAAAAAATTATACTAAAAAGTTGCTTTATAAAACAGTAAAAAAATTGTCGCAAATGAATCCTAAGCCAAGCAAATCAATTTCTTTTATTTATAGTTTTTTTTAGGCTTCCATAGTGTATACTTTTGTTGGTGGTTGCTCCCAATTTAGTTATTAAATAAATTTATGATGAAAAGTTTACATAAAAAAATTCTAACAAAAATTTATTATGTATGAAATCTAAATGTGTTGAGCAGTTTAGTTATTATGTTGTCTCGGACCTTAAAGTTTGACATGTTTACTGGGGGGGATGGGTACCCCCTTTCTTGTGTTTGGGTGCGAACCCAAAATTTTTTTTTTTTTCCGTACAACACTGCAGCGTAATGTACCCAAGCGTCTCGACACTGCATTCCCGGGCGCCCCAATATTGTATGACTAAGAGTAGAGTGCCTCCGCAGTGGAATAAATAATGCACTACAGTGGTGCAAAATAGTGGCTTCAACACCGCAGCGCTTCAACGTCGCAGCACCCCAAACTGACTGCTTGTGTTTGGGTGTGAACTCGAATTTTTTTCCGTACAACACTACGTACGACGTAATGTACCCGAGCGTCTCGGCACTACATTCCCAAGCGCCCCAACGCTGAACGACTAAGAGTAGAGCACCTCCGCAGTGGAATAAATACTGCACTACAGTGGTGCAAAATAGTGGCTTCAACACCGCAGCACCCCAAACTGGCACTATAGTTTTGCGAGATGGATTGGACAGTTTTTTCTGAAGGATTTCGTCCCTTCGGATTCTTTTACTTGGTTTTCTCTTGTATTTTGAGTGTGTAAAAATTGAACATTATGCATGTGAGAAGAGATCAAAGCAAGGAGTGAGAGAGAAGGAAGAAAGATATTTATTTATTTCTCTCAATTTTTATAGTCGATTTCTTGGTGTTGTGTTGTTATGTTGTTTTTTTTTTTCCTTATTTTGATTTTTTTTCACATTAAACCATGATGCCCTTTACTTTTACACTGTCAGTAACTTAAAATAATATCATTTTAAATTTAGAAAAAAAAAACACTCCATAAAAGATTTTTTTCTTTTAACCATTAAACAAACAAAGCTCATAATTGTGGGTTTGAAAGTCAACCCTATCATTGAAAGTCAACCCTATCATTGAAAATCTTTCGCTAGAAGTTCTTAAAATTAGGCCAATTCGTGAAAGTATTACTTCGCTATCACCCTTTTTTTATAGCCCCTAATAAGAAGCCCTATCAACCAATCATAATTTGGTAGTACTTTTAGAATCAAGAGCATCCTTTCTTTTCTTCACTTGAATCATCTTCGATTGTTCCTACAATCTAGTCCAATCTTCTTTATGTGTGCTCGTGCTCGGGTTAGAAGTTTTTTGAGAAATGTTTAGTTATGTTATTAAGGCTTCATTTAGGATAACTTTTTTATTACTTTTTAAAGTAAATTTTTAGCATAAAAATTAAATTTTTTATATTAAAAAGTTACTTTAACAAAAAAAAATGTTCCAAACGAAGCCTAAATTTTTTTCTTCAAGTTCTTAAAGCTAGGCCAATTCGCCTTAGAATTACTTCCCTATCGACTTTTTATTTACACCCTTTGACAAGAAGTCCTATCAGGCAATCATGATTTGATAGTATCCAGATCAGAAATTAGGAGCAATCTCTCTTTTCTTTCTTTTTTTTTTTTTTAGTTGAAGCGGCCTCAATTATTCCTATAATCTAGTACAATCATTTTTTAACTCTTTTTTTTTTAGTTTTTTTTTTCTATGACAAAAAAAAATTAACTACCTTACCATTTTTGCCAAATATTAAGCAATTTGGTTATCATTTTTCATATTTCATCTTAGACAAATTTTCTAATTACATCACCTGAAAAAAAAAAGCTACTCCAATAAATAAAATTAGAAATTACATTTGCGTCAAGGAATGAGTATAGCTTCATCTAAATGTAAATTAGCATATTGCTGTGAAGAAAGGAAAAAAAAAAAAACGAAGAAAATCAGAAACCACAGCAAAATTTCATCTGCTCAAACCAGATCAAGCAGCCGCCTTTACCCTTTTCCCTCTTTAATTTCTCTTCCTTTTTTCCTTCTTCCTTCTTCCTTCTCTCCATTTCATAAAACATCGATATCCACTGGCTGTACGGCGCTCCTCGAGCTCCGGCCGAGTTGTACGAAGGGAAAGAACGGCCGCCGTACTCTCCCGCTTCCTCCTCCGCCGCTGTTACTACTCTCTTCACCATAAACCAAATTCGGATTCATTCGAAGAGTTTCCTGAACTGAAACGTAGAGCTGGGGATCACAGGAGGAATCCAAAGACAACGATCTTCTCAATGGCTGAACCGCAAAGAACTCGTCTTTATCTCTCCTAACCTCAATGCACTCATCTCCCATGCTAACCGCGTGCACTAACCTCCGTCTCTGATTCCTTATCACCTCCTCGCTCACCTCAATAACCACGCTTTGAATCGGAGTGATGTGGTGATCCGCCGAAGGAGGAAACGGATTCGAGATGCGAGAGCGGCATAGAGGGCAGCTGGTATTAGACTGGAGCCACGCGTCGATGCAGTCGATGTGGAAGGCGTGAGAGCAGTCGGGGAGGAGGCGGAGGCGCTCGCCGGAGCGGAAATCCGATAGGCAGACGGCGCATTCGGCAGGGGTGTAGAAGGGGATGGAGGAGTAGCGGAAAGATGGGATGGAGCGGATGGCGGCGGGATCGAGACCGGTGGATTCGGCGGCGGTGGAGGAAGGGAAGCTGTGGCGGCGGGAGGTGGAGAAGAGGTGGTGGAGGAGGTCGGAAGAATGCCAGTTGAGGCAGCATTTGATGACGAAGATGTAGTAGGTGAGGAGGAATATGGCGGTGGTGAGAATTCCTAAAATCGAGATGGCAACGATTGGCAAGCTCATGGTGGAAGAAGAGTACAGTGAATAAGCGGCGGCAGCGGCCGCGGTGGCGGCGGTGGACGAAAGAGGAAAGGAAATGGTTGCCGGAGAAAAAAATAGAGATTTTTATGATTATGTAAGGTAATTAATGACAGGGGAGAAGGGAAACAGGGAGGTTGAGAAAGCTTGAAGAAAGCCAGCTAGGATGGAGTTGTATTTAAGGAGGGAAATCGCGGTGAAGAAATCACTTTACTTCCAATTTGTTACGCGGCATGTTTCACAGAGTAGAGGAAGAAACCTTTGCTATGTGTAGGGGCGTCAATATTTAATCCGAACTAAAAATTCGATTTGCAAAATTTCGGGTACCCGAACTCGAACCAGGTCAGATTCGGGTTGACCCGGAAATCCTAAATCAACCCGATTTGACCCGTTTTTAATTAATTTAGGAGGGTTTTAATGGATTTTTATGAAATAAGTAAACGATATTTCAAAAAATTATAAACATTACTGCTCAAATTAAATTAATATTGATTTACTTTAAATTAATTGAAGTAAATCTTACCTTAATTTGATTTAGATTTAAATAAATTGAATTAAATAAAAAAATTTAATAAAATATACCCGAATCGGGTCGTGTTCGGATTGACCCAGACCCGAAGCGGGTCGGGTTCGAGTTCGGAAAACTGACCCGGGTTCGAGTCGGGTTGAACAGTGTCGGGTCAATTTCGGGTTAGACCCGAACCCGACCCGTGACCCGGTTTTGACAGCCCTAGCTATGTGGATATACACTTCAAGGAAAAAAAAAGAAAAAAATTTGGTGAGGATTTTAACTCAAAATTTTTTTAAGTAAATTTAATGATGATAAAAGTTAAGTTAATTAACTTTTGGTGAAATTTTGTAACCCAAATTTTCATCCAAAAAAAAAAATTTGTCAGGGGTTTTTTTTAGAGGATTTCCATAAGGATTTAGGTGAAAAATTAAGGCTTCATTTGGGATGGCTTTTTTACTGCTTCTTAAAGCATCTTTTAGTGCAAAATTTTAATTTTGTACTAGAAAGCTAATTTAAGAAGCATTACAAACTCCGTCCCAAACGAAACCTAAAAAAAGATAAAGAACAAACACATAAAATATCATAATAACCAGACTCCTAAAGTTACATGGCTCGATGAGATCCACTTAAGGCCACAACTTCACATAGATCGAATAACACATAAAGGCCTCTTTTGGGACGGCTTTCTTTATGCTATATAAAGCAGTTTTTTAATACAAAAAATTTATTTTTGTACTGAAAAACCACTTTAAAAAACAGTAAGAAATCCGTCTCAAACAAAACCTAAAATTCAAAAGTGATGCAAGTTTATCTATACCACCAATTAAGAGATAATGCAACCAAGTACTACTGGAAATATGAAGATTTAATGTAGAGAAGGAGATGATGCATTGATGCTATTGTTGTTACTAATCTACTTCTCTATTTTTTGAGTCTAATCAAGTTTTTTTTTTTCCTTTTTTATATACTTTGGGACAACTTTTTTATCGTTTGTACTTAAAATAACCTTTTAGTAGAAAAATTTTTAATTCATAAAATTTTTGTACTTAAAAATTGTTTTAGAAAGTGATAAGAAAGCTGTTCTAAGCGAAGCCTTATTTAGTGAATATGTCAGAAATATTTTCCATGCAACACTTTCTTTGAAGTATTTTTGTGAAAATATATAAAAATATTTTATATTTTTATAAAGTAAAATATTTGTTTTTTTCTTTTAAAAATATTAAAAAAATTTATGTAACTATAATATATTTGCCACCCTGTAAGCAAGCATTCAATCTATCATCATAAGCCAGCATTTTTAAGAATATCCCATGCAAAGCTGTGTTAGCTCTATTGATTCCTTTAAAAAGTATTCAATACTTTGCCCTAAACCTCTCTGGTGATTTTATATATTTAAGGATATGGACAATATTGAAGGGTTGTCTAGTTAGCTGTTTTAGAACATTATTGTATTTTATTTTTCTAAATTTATTTTTTAGTATTTGATATCCAGCAAAGTAAAATAAAATATTATGATTTTCTAATCCACCAAAACTTATTATTTTTTCATATCGCCCCCCCGCTGGGGATTTCGTCGCAGATCTCCTTTGCCTTTCGGTATATTCGAAATATATTATAATAAATAGAAAAAATGTTTCAATGCATTTGATTTGCCCCAAATCAAACAACTAAATTGCACAAAAAATGTATCGCGGCTTGTTTAATTTTGATCCGTCAAGCCTGAAAAGCTTGGAGTAGCTTCAATGACAGATAAGATTAGAGAGAGTCGCGTTAGATGGTTTGGTTATATAAAACATCGGTCTTTGAATGACCCAGTTAGGAGAGTAGACGTACTAGATCTGACTATTATTAAGAAATATTGAGTTAGACCTAACAAGACAGTTAAAAAAGTATTAGAAATGATATTTTTTATTAGAATTAAGAGAGAATTTGACACTTAATAATACATAATGGAGAAAAAAAGATTCATGTAGCCTACCCCACATAGTGGGATAGAGGCTTAATGTTTTTGTTGTAGAATAGCATCCACTAAATTAGAGATGGGGCGTGTAAATGAGTTGAGCTTAAGGCTTTGAATATCTTTCTAACTCTTTTTTAGAGTAATTTTCTAGTACAAAAAATTTCAGAATTAGAAAGTTTATACTAAAAAATTGGCTTAAAAAGTCGTAAGAAAGCTGCCACAAACAAAGGCTAAGGTTTCGTTTGGGAAGGCTTTCTTGTTGCTTCTTAAAGCAATTATTTAATATATAAATTTAAATTTTTGTACTAGAAAATTCTTTTAAAAATAATAAAAAGGTTGTCCCAAACGAACCCTAAGTTAGCTCTGATATCAGCTTAAACTTAATAAATTAATCAAGCTTTTGCTCAAAGCCAAGCTCGATTTTACTAGTTCAAGTTAGTTTTGATGCTAACTCATTCATTATAAAAAATAAAATATTATTCTAATTCAAATCATTATTGTAATAAATTAAAAAATAGTGAGAAATAATATGCAAATATTTGATAAAAAAGTTATTTAAATTCTTAAATATTTTTAATAACTTTATATTAAAAAAATTTAATCATATTACATTTTAAATATAGGTATTTTAATATTAATATTTTTTTTGAAAATCTGACACATAATTGATAATTGACACAAAAGAATTAGTTTTTTCAGCTTCATTGAAAAGGATTGATTAATCGATTTAATAATAAAATCATAAATAAATTATATGAATATATAAAGAAGCTCTGCCTGCCTCTAAAAATCATTGCATGAAAATGATTGTTTAGCTGTTCAAATTTTGTATATTGTAATACAAAATTGTTCATATGAACTTCAATTTTTTAATATACATTAAGATAAGTGCTGTAGCGCTTACAAGTACTGTTTTCTTATTGCTTTTTTTAAAAAAATTTGGCAAAAAGTTTTTTTTTAATTAAATTTATGAATGTGTGGGAGCTATAAAAAAGTTATTTTCTTATTTTTTTAAATAGAAGATATTCATAATGGCCATAATAATTTTTTAAAAATTATTTTTATAAAAACCACAACCACCCACAAAAACCCTAAAACATATTTAACTTGAAATTAAATATTATTTAATTGCGGGGCCTCTTCGTAATGGTAAACCTCTTATTGCTCTTCTTACTTATATTCTTTATGGCTTAAGATGTTGTATGTCCCTTGACATTGCTAGCATTACTATTGAGACTGATCCCTCTTTTAATATTCAATGTCTTTTTAATGATGTGGATTCGGCTTGTGAAGCTGAGGCTTTTTACATTGTTAGTGATATTAAGCATTTGTTGGTTTTCATCTATGTTGATACTTCTAATGTGGTTAAGGAAGGTAATACTTGTGCGATTTGGTTGGCTAGGTTTGGGGCTAGGATTGAATGTTTTATGGACATTATGGAATCCAATGCTCCTACTCCTCTAAAAGGCCTATTAAGATTAGACAACATTTTCTTTCCTTATGTTAAAAGTTAATTTTCTTCCCCTGTGCTTTTATGTTTCTTTCGGTTGGCCCTGCTTCGCTAGTTAGTTTGGGCTTGAGGTGTCTTGCCTGGGTTTTTATCTGGCTAGGTTTCTTGGCCTTGCTTTATCTATGCTGGTGGATTTCTTCTACTTATTATGTGATTTTTTCAGGTTGAGCGATGATTGCAACCTCCATTTGATGGGTGACCTGCTTGTTGCTCTCCTCCCTTGGGTTCTAAGAGGGCTGGATTTTGTTGGCTTCTTGGCTATCTGCAGCTGGCTCTTTCAAGGCTTGGTGGTTGGTTTGATTTTGTTGGAGCATTACTAGGATTTTGGCTGGATCATAGACGGGTTCTTACTAGTTGTCTTTTTCTTCTCTATTAAGCTTTCTGGGTGCTTTGGGATTTCTTTGTTGAATTCCTGGGAATCTAGCAGGGTGGGGAATTGCTGTATGGCCTGGGCTTGCTATGTTTCCTGGGTTATGAGGAAGGTGGTGCTCTGGTTTTTGGTTTGGTGTTATCTAGTTCATTTTTGGTTGGGTGTCTTTTTGGGTGCTTCCTTCTGCTTATTTCTGGTATGTCGGGGGGAGGCCTTTGTGTTGGATTGAGTGGCATCATGTCTTACCTTATGATGTTCGCGGTTTTCATTCCATCTTGAGATCTTATTGCCTGATTAAATCATGTATTTAATGGTTGTTTCTTATATTGAAGGCTGGTTTTTTTGTTGTTCCTTTGGTATGTGCTGGGTACGATGTTCAGTGGTTGTTTTTTGTGCTGGATTATATGTTATGGTTTATGCCTTCAGCTTTGGTTTTGTTGGAGCAGTAGTGGGATTTTTCTGATTGGCTTGTTACTCTTTATTTTGGTTTCTGGGTGCTCGGAACTCGGTTCTCTGTGGTTGTGCTGGTTGGGGCCTTTCTGTTTGCCCTTACCTTGTCAAGCTACCTGGGGCATTATTGTTGTGAGGAAAATGGTTGGTGGGTGTCTGCTCGGGCTTTGCCTGGATGTTATTTGGGGGTTGTCCATTGGGTTGGTTTCTCCTTGTAATGATAGCTGTGTTGGGGGGTACTGTTTATGGTTAGTGTACGTGTCTTCAGATCTTATTCTGCTGTATTATTTTTCTGGTGATTTGGAGGACCAAGGTGGTTTATTTATGTGGGATCTTGACTGGGCTTAAAATCTATCATTGGTGGTACTTTCCCTTTTTTTTTTGCTATTTGTTTTTATGTCTATCATGGAGGTTTTTGCTCTCTTTTTTTCAGGATCT